CTAAAAGTTGGCATAAATATATATATACACGCGCGCGCTCTCGCGTACCGTGACCTGTTGGTAGAGCAATCTCTCTGAAGATCGTAAGTCCCCGCATGTCACCGTTTAAAATCCTCCGTTGTGTCAGGTGTGGTACTCGAATATTTAACACATCTAGGGATGGTCGGAGCTAGTCTAATACCTTTCTACCATTCCTTTACATATATCTATATATAATAAATGAGTAATATTTTTAAATAATTTAATTGTCTACAAGGATACAAATATTTATAATCAATTAAAATTATAATTAAAATAGAATAAAAATATATTAAACTATATTTAAATAATGTTTTAATTTAAATAAAAAGATTTAAATCTCGCATCTAATATTAACATCCTACGGCTTCCTGATTAGGGTTGTCAAAATGACTTTTTTTCACGAATAGCTCTTGTTCGACTTGCTAAGCTGACGAGCCGAACATGAATAAAATTTATTGTGTTCGAAATTTAAACGAGCCGAACACGAACAGTGATAATTTTTAACGAGCCGAACATAAGTTGAGCCCGAGCTCGCTCCTGTTCGACTAGTTTACATTTTCACTGGCTAGTTTAAAATTAGAACTGGCTTGTTTACAGTTCAAGTTGGCTCGTAAATCGTTCAATTTCCATCCTAATCCGGTCGAAATTAATTTAAATTGAACCATTAGTCGATTTCGATCAATTTTAAATGATTTGGATTTGATTTCAAGCTGCCCCTAAATTGCCTCAAAATCGGCTCATTCATAGCCCTAATCGCAGCACCCCTAGACCATTGTCCCAGCATTCCGGCCACTGTCGTTTGGTCACTGCTACCAAGGACATGAGCAGTACACTTTTTGGCACACGAACTATATTGTCGGCTTTCCTTCACAGCAGCCAGCTCACCATCACTTCCTAAGCTTTTTTTTTTTTTTTTTGATATTTCCTTAGGGAAAGCCTCGTGCCACTTGTATAATATTGGCTCCAGCTATTCAAGAGCTAACAAAGTTTTGTAATCTTCATCGAAATAATGGAATCATTTTAACTATGCCAGACTATATGATATTCGCCCATTCGGGTTTTCTACCTAAAAACTCCAATTGTCTTTTTCATCAATTTTTTTTACATATGGGTGTGGCGGATCTTCGTGCCATACTAATATGTTAATGTATCACTCTTCTAGGACGACTTTAGGAGTACACAATAGTTATAAAAATAAAAAATTTAAATTTAGGCGTTAGATATGTAAACACAAAGAAATTATAGGTGTTATCTGTATGTAAATGCCACATTTTTATTTTGTGAGATGTAAACTCTTACCAACATATGCTTTTAATAGTATGATGGCAGAAAACCAACCAAATTTTATAGTTAATTAAATAACAGTAACTTAAAAATTATTTTACTTTTTTTTTTCTTCAATTTGCAACCTTATTCATACGAACAGCCGCGAACTTCTCTTTCCTATGACCAAATTAAGACCTTAATAAATCATCTCTATTACAACAATGTGTCGACATTCTCCCTCGTCTCTCATTAGAAAATTCCGCACAACGGCTAAAACATCCGGCTAAACCGCCAATGCTGACTAAAAACTTGCTATAAATTCATTATATTGTCAATATGTCCTCATCCTTGAAAAATAAATTAACCTCTCCTCCCTCATCTTCTTTTCAATCATGTATAAATATAAATATCTCCCCTTTCCAATAACTCCAAAACCCGCAACCCAAAACTAATTAAACATGAAGAAGCTCTCCCTATTCTTTCTAATCAGTATCCTCCTACTCCCAGTCCTAACCCACGCGGAATGCAGCTGCGACGCAGATCAGGAAGACTTCAAGGGGTCGCGTGCAATCCCATTAAAACTTGCCGCGATGTTTTCCATCCTCGTCGCCGGCTTTCTCGGCGTCTGTATCCCAACATTAGGCAAATGGATCCCTGCCATAAGGCCAGAGAATATAAATTTCTTCGTCATAAAAGCTTTTGCCGCAGGGGTTATCCTTGCCACCGGCTTCATCCACATACTTCCTGACGCCTTCGAGAACCTAACCTCGCCCTGCCTAAATCAAAGCCCTTGGCAGGACTTCCCCTTCGCTGGCTTCTTCGCGATGGTCGCTGCCATTGGCACTTTGATCATAGACACTGTCGCCACTGGATACTATAATCGGAACCTTAATGGCAAAGTCGTTCAGGAGTTGATTCAGGCTGACGAGGAGGACCCTAGCCAACTACACGTCCATACCCATGCAACGCATGGCCATGCTCATGGAATTGCTTCCTCTGCTCCTCAAGACGGACAAGATCTTCTCCGACGTCGAGTCATATCTCAGGTGGTGGCTTAACTTAAATTCAAAAAAATAAAATTATGTACTGCTGAGTTGATATTGATTATTTGAATGAATTTTTTGACTATAGGTGTTAGAAATGGGAATAGTGGTGCATTCTGTGATTATTGGAATTTCTTTAGGTGCATCAGATAGTCCAAGTACTATAAAACCTCTTGTTATAGCTTTAAGTTTTCATCAATGTTTTGAAGGCATGGGGCTTGGAGGATGCTTGGTTCAGGTATGTTGCAATCAACCAAAGAATATATTAATTGCTCTACGTTAATTCCAATGGTGTAGAAATCATAAAATGGCGACTTGCATTTCTTCGTCAGTACATGCGGATGAGCAACCATAGGACGATAGCTCAACTTGGTCCAACGCCACCTCTGCGTCTAAGCCGAGCGCAATATTTTACCGTCATTAGGTGTTAATGTTATATATTCTCATAAATTTATGCCATTTATGAAAGAAAATATTGGGGTGAACAGAAAAATTTGTTTATTAACATAACAACATTCAAAAGCTTTTATCTTTATTAAAGTATTGTTCAAATTGTCACACTATATCAAAATTTACCTATACTTTTTATTTAATTAAATCTCAATAATTTGATTGTGACATTCATAAATACATCGATTTGATAGTTCAATAAAATTACCTTCTACTGTAAATAGATTGTTTTGAGAAATTAATGTTGTGTATGTAATATTCCCCTAATTTAAATGCCGAATTACTATAAGAGCCAATTCATATTTATGTTTCCAATTAAGGCCAATCTAAATTTAAGAAAGATATACATTTAATTAAGTATTGATTTTTAATGATATTAAAAATAATAATAATAAAAGCTTATGTTTTTTAAAATATGTGATGTTTTGGACAAAAAAAATAATTCGATAAAAGTTGATAAATTTATAATATTTTACTTTATAATAATTTGTAATATAATTTAATTTAGGAGTAATTCTGGGTATACTCTTACATATTTAATTGTGGTAGTGCTTTTAATATTAGGCGAGTTCGTAAAAAAAAATCCTAAATTAATTTTATTAATAATATTATATATTTATCTTTATTGCTGTAAAATTTATTATGATTCTATACGTCGATTGCTCTTGTAATTTATATTTATGCGACACGAAAAAAATATTACATCAGGACTCCGCATGTAACTCCGACGTGCGGAATTCAAGGCGAAGAAAATAAAAATTGGCCCAATAACATAGTAAAATTTTCCTCCCGTGTTATTTAGGCGTTATTGTATGTTATTCATGTGTTATTGTGTTCTTCGAATATTCCTAGTGTTATAATAACACAATAACACATCAATAACACTTGAATAAACCACAATAACATCTGAATAACACGGGAGGATTATTCCCCTGTGTTACCGAGCCTTTTTTTTTTTTATGTGACTCTACGTGCAGAGTCCTGATGTAATATTTTTTCCTGCGACACAAATCAAATATGGAAACTATGAAGCAAGAATGGAAATTGCATGATTTCTGTAATACAAAATATTTATTTTTTCAAATGTTTTGTTATTTGTTTGATTTACAGGCACAATTCAAGATTAGAGAGATGATTACTATGATTATATTCTTTTCCTTGACTCTTCCGGCTGGAATTGCTATTGGCATCGGAATTTCATCAGTTTACAATGAGAATAGTCCAACCGCTCTCATCGTTGAAGGCATTCTGAATTCCGGAGCTGCTGGGATTTTGATTTACATGGCTCTTGTTGATCTTCTTGCTGCAGATTTCATGAACCCTATGGTTCAGAAGAATGTATGCGTTCAAATTAAAATAAATATTTCTTTGCTAGTAGGAGCTGGTTTCATGTCCCTTTTAGCCAAATGGGCTTAAACCATTGCATTGTATTATGGAACTCAGAGTGCAAAAAGAGTTGGACGTTTAGCTTTTCATACAATTTTTTATACTTCTTTTGTATAAATTTTTATGCAGTTTAATGAGTTTTTTCTCCACATAAGTAAGCAGTATATGGATTTGTTTTTTTCTGAGAATGTGATGACATCTATATATATATATATATATGCGACGCTGCTCAGATCAGTTGGTTGGGTTTCTGCTTGTCAGTTGTAAGTGCCCTCTGGCATGGAGATCAAATCCCCCCGAGTGTAAGGTGTAGTACTTGAATTATTAGGCGCATTAAGGGTGGTTAGGGCTCGTATTATAGGCTTTGGTCATTCCTTTGAAAAATGATATATATGCACACACACACACACACTTCAGTGAAAGTTTTGTTATAATTTTCGAGCATATTCATAAAAGAGAAGAGGAAAGATGTAGATTTGTCAAAAGAGGAACTTTCCATTTACTTCTATAAAGAAGACCCTCTATTGGGTTTCTTTTATCATAACAACCCATTTACGTATGATAGCTCTCATATATACGAAATTTTCTTAAACTATATGATTGTAAACATATATAAGTACTGCAAAGAATATTATTAATAGGTACTATTTAGCTACTTTCTTGAGTTCAAAAAATATGTTTTACAAATAGTTGGGCAAAAATGTGCACATGAGAACAATCAAGGTCATTAAAATGAGAAAAATAAAAATGCAATGAGAAAACATAGAGAATAGCACAAGATTGTTTACTTAGGTTTACTATGATCCACCTAAAATTTTACTAACTCAAATACAAATTAAAATATGAACATTCCATATGTTTTTATCTAGTCAATATTATTTTATCCCCCTCTTCATTTGAATATAATCCTTAACCCAACAATGCTCATCAGAGATATTGAAAAGAATGTCTCTTCCTACTTAAAACAAAATTGTTGATCATCATGCCTAATAAAAAATATTGATTTTACTTTAATAAAGCCTAGATTAATTTTCAATTGTCACATTTGGCTCCTCAATGATTGTTGCTGAGCACCGAAAAGATGATCTTTTGTATAATATTAGCCCAAATGATTGCAAATGTCAGTCAATCCACTAACCACTTCCTCAACCTATGCCTCTACACTTTGATAGACTAAAGAGATAATGTAATGTCATGTAACTAATGATTTCTTCATCTTTTATAAAGCAACATCGGTTGATAGGTATGAAAGCTATGAAATTCTATTCTTGAATATAATTTAAAGTATTAAGCTAACCAATCTAAAAATCAAAAACATATTTGGTCTCAATTTGATACATCCCAAAAGAAATATTTTAATCAACCACAAACCTCAATACACATTAGAACTGAGAACTTGAATGATCAAATTTGGCCATGCCCAAGTGTATCGGTGAGACAAATCAAATGACATAAAAAAATAATTCGATTTGAGTCCAAGTGAGCTCAGATCATGCATTTAAAGCATTAAGAGAAATTTTGATACATAATTCTAAGGTACAAAAACTCCAAATATAATAATTTTATTGTTAAATAGAGTGTGTCCATGAGAGGAATCCAATGAGCATAAAATCTCTTTGCTCTGACATTGTTAAGAAATTTAAATTATTAAAAGGTTAAATCTGATCAAGTGAGTCACTTTGGGTTGTCTGATGGAGTGATTCAGTTTTATGCAATATTGTATAGAGGATGTCACTCTCAAAATCTATAAATTGAGCTCCACTCT